CCCCCCTTGGCTTGACTTCCACTACGCCCCTGGCAAGAACTCAGTTTCTTTTTTTACAATCTATAACATACACTTTGCTTGTCAGTCTGTCTGTTTGTCTGTCTGTCTGTCAGTTTGAATCCAATAAATGTCAAAACGGCTGAACCGATCGGGCCCAAATTTTATGCATGGGACCTCACAGCTTCCCTCAAGATTACAAAAATATGTGTCCAAAAGTTATCGATTTTTCTTAAATTTTAAAGTGCACGAACAAATATTATTTAATCCGCTAACTTTTTTTGTTATTGTTTTATTTTACACAAGGAGAAGATTCTCACAGATAGAGTCACAATAAAAATTAAAATAGAAAATGGGCGCGAAGTGGCTTAGAACCATAATTTTTAAATTTCTTTGACCCCCTTTTCTTTCAATGATATAACTTTTACGACTTTTTCTTCAAAAGTATATTCTCTATTTAAGAATCAAATTAAATATTAAATGTTCATGAAATTGTCAAATTTGTTTCTAACTTTATGTGAAATAACTACAGGGGAAGGTAACCGTGAATATTAGTATATAAGAAGAGCAGCTGGTAGATATAGCAGATATAGCAGACCTTATATTCCATGTTAAAGTGTTGATAAGAAACCTTGATTCTATCTATTTGCAGATCTTCATATTTTTGAAACAGACAGTTTAAACTTTAAACATAACCAACCCGTCTAGGACATTATTTTCAAGGTTATACTATCAGGAAGGGGCATAAAGACATCCCTTTCTTCCATACTACTCTCTTACCCCCCCCCCCCCCCCCCCCCCTCCCAACTGCAGTTTGTATAGAATGCAACTGTTGAATTTGCATAGAGTTGCAGTTTACATTTGCATTTAAGAGTGTACTAGACACAACTACTGTCTACTACACTTTACAGGGTTAAATAGTTGATATTTACTATAAGCCCAAGTTCTTACTTAAAATCAAATATATTAAATAGTAATTACTCTCTGATTATGTTTTGAGTCCCTCTCTGCATCCTTGACCCATATTCGATTCATGCTTAACTGATTTTCTCCTTAGTTCTTTTT